TGGCTCAGAAGTTTTGGGTTTCTGTGATATTTTAGAATATTGTTTTGAGTCCTCAGGATGGCTATCTCTGGCTTTAGATGCAGTTTCCTAAAAGAAAATTATTTCTAGAATCAGGCTCTCCTCCAGTATCTTATCGACATGATGTTTAATACTTCTATTGAAGTTTTCAAATTGTTTGTCTTTGGTTAAGTGATTCAAGTGCATTTGGTACAAAGCAATTACTTTAATGTAATGAATCTGTAATTGATTATTCTGATGTAGATATGTTATTCCTGGAAACTTGCTTGTAAATTCTGAACTCATGTTTCTGCTTGTGTTTGTTTTCTATATAGATACGTATATATATCTATACATACGCATATATATCTACACTGTACTATAAAATATGCTATATCTTTCTATCTATTTATAACGTATACCAATATAAAAGTATATATGTATATGCATGAGGGATACTCTGAAAATAATGCTTCCTATTATATTATGTTGGCACATAATATCACAATTGGATGTTGATCGTATGGCAGTAGAGGTTGAATCTTACTACCAGTGTTCTCTGCTGCCATATGACTGATGGTAATAGAGGGTAGTCTGATACCCTTAGTGGTGTCTAATGTGGAGGTGTGTACAAAGCAAAAATGTGTCACTGAAATCCTCCACAAGGAAAAAATGGCACTTTTTCACTGATGCTTGCTGAATGATTATGGAGAGCAAACAGTGGATGTGAGCACAGTGCGGCGGTGGGTGTTGCATTTCAGTAGTGGTGACAATGACAGTGGGTCACCTCTGCTGGTGCAGATTTGTATGAATGCAGCATGCAGGCTCTTGTTCACTTACAGCAAAAAATGCATATCTAATGATGGTAGCCATGTTGGAAAATAGTGTACTGTAGCTGAGAATTTGCTCTTTCAAGAAGTACTAATGTGCTCTTTGTATATGTTGTAGCTTCCATGGAAATAAATAAGAGATATTTCTTTTGCAGCCACTTACACGTATATAGTTTTGAAGATTTTTTTTCATTCAGTAGCCTTCTACAACAGTATTAAAATTTATTCAGGAAAATGAATAAAAGAACAGGAAAGGAACAGTTAGAATATCAGCTTTCTCTCCATCTTGTAGTTTTTGTCTGTTTCTGGCTCTGTTATCTCGCATCTGTGTTCTGAAATTAAATTAAATCCTTTCAATCCCTCCTTTTTTTTAACCTGTCATTTGTCAACAATGAGTTTGCTCATGCTGTTATCTCTTACCCTGACACCAAGGTTAACTTCAGGTTTCCTTAAGTTAAAAACCTTAAGTTAAAAAATTTCTGTGTTGCTTGATTGTCTGACTTCTATTCCATGCTCCTCTATGCTGAGTACCAAGTCGCAATTTATTTTGTGTAGGAGCTTTGTTTTCCTAACTTGCTGCGTGCTGTTTCAACGTGTAGTTAGTAAATTTCATATCCCTGTCCCTCTTGTCTAGTTTCTTGATGCTGTATCGCAGGGCCAGCTGGGTGCTTGCCTATGTGATGCTGGCTAATGCATGAGCTAACTCAGCCATCTCTTTCTGGTCTTAGCAATGCACAAGTGCTGCTGTGCCCCAGCTGTGGCAGTGAAGGTTCTCCCTGTAGTGCCAGCCATGCGTTGTGCCACTTCATTGAGTTCTGTGGCAAGGATCAGTGAAAGATAGGTGACACTGGAGGGAAAGATATGAATAAAAAGCAAATCCTGCAAATTTGTTATACTCTTTTTTGGTAAATATTCTGTAAAACAAACAAACAAACCATAAAATATTCAACTATAATCAAACAACTTCCTTTCAGCTGCTCTTGTTAGTATTAGTGGCATCACTTTATATTTTCCAATATTTTTTTTTCTGCTTTTATAAGTATGTTCTGATTCTATAGTTTAATTTGGTAGAGCACTCTTGTTGCTGGAAATCGTGTTATCCCATGATTTAGGTATAGGCAGACTATTGCTCTTATATTTTTCATGGCATCAATATTCAAATTATATTCAATGTTTCAACCAGTTTGATATCCTTTCAGTGTTTTGTCTGCTAAATATGGAAAGTTTTAAAAATAAACTGTTCATCACAGCTCCATTTGAGAACTAGAGCTAAGGAAAAGAAGAAGATAAACATATTGTTAAGTATTTGGATAAAACGTGAAACTGAACTGTCTCATTACTTTTCAGGCTAGCAGCCAAATGCATGACTGAAAGGAAGTCTGGTTCCAGCCACTGGATCTATCAGAGCTATGGGTCTGTAAAAACAATAACTACAGTTGAAAGAAAAAGTTTTTCATTGGACTTGCTCTAATACTTAGGGACTCTTCAAATCCTTATGATTAATCTTTACCTAAATCTTTCTATGTTTTATAATGCTAGAAGCCAACATAGTGTGGGAAGTTATGAATAATGGTGATTATTTTTTTGCTTCATCATAATTGGCAGTAGGGTGATTAAACCACATCTTACCACTTTAAATTTAGAAAGAGACTAAAAGTATTTATATCACCTTATTCAGAAATTAAGCAGTTAGCTGTAGCTTTGCTTAGTTGGGTAATAAAAATTTGGAGCGTAAGTCTAATGAGGAGTGGCTGAGGGAACTGGGATTGTTCAGTCTGGAGAAAAGGAGGCTCAGAGGAGACCTGATCACACTCCACAGCTACCCGAAAGGAGGTTGTAACATGCTGGGGTCTGGCCTCTTTTCCCAGATAACTGTGATAGAGTTAAGGGTAACGGCCTTAAGTTCAGCCAGGGAGATTTCAAGTTGAATATTAGGAAAGATTTATTTTCCAAATGAGTGGTGAGTGACTGGAATAGGCTGCCCAAGGAGGTGATGGGATTCACTGTCCCTTAAAGATGTTCAAGATGAGGGCAAGTGTGGCACTGAGATACATGGTTTAGTGGCCATGATGGTGTGATGGGTTGGCAGATGATCTTAGGGGACTATGATTTTATGACTGGCAGAACTAGTCAACACAGTTAAATGGAAAGAAAGAACATGGTAGAACTTTAAAAATAAGGAGTGTGGTAGAGCTGTAACGGAGCTGAGGAGAAGGAGAACCAAATGAATCAGTGGCCATAAGTAGTCTAGAATAAGAAAAGAAAGTGAGTCACTTTGAATTATACTCCTAATTGTGTATTGTAAGGGAATATGTTCTTCATTTACCTTTTAATATTTGAACAAAAACATTTGTGTATTAGCTGACATCCTACACAGGTAGGCTGAATGTTACCACTAATACTAATTATAAAATTTATCTTTCTTAAATAATATCCAAAGTCTATTTTCTTTTCATTTTTTTGATCTATTGCTAGATGATTTAGTTTGAACTGTGAATGTTATACTTCGTCTTCTAAACTAATAAAAATGTACTGTAAACATAGGAAGATCTTTATATTCTTAGGCTATTTAACTCTGTGGTACTGTCCACTTCTGAGAAAAGTGAAGCTTAGTAATAAGCAAGCAAATTCTTTGAAGATATTATCTAGATCAAAGTAAAATTATGTAATTTTTTTAATAGTTTGTGCCTTGTCTGTTTTATGGAATAGAAGTTGTATTTTAGCATATTCAACTGTGTGACTCTATTATTTAGTATTGATTAGAATTTTTATTTTTAATCAGGCAATTTTTATTCAACATGACATTCTGAAAGTTCATTCTCCAAATATGTATAACAGGATTCAAATATTTGTGTCTGATGTTTTCAGAGGTGTATGAAGATGACAATAATCAATCATATCTAATTAGCTGGTGACACACTGTGCTTGCAGTAATTAAACGAGACATTATGGCTTTACTTTCTAATGATTAAGATTACAGAGATTGAGACCCAGCTGTTAATCACTTTTCTTGCACAGCTAATGTCATTAACAGAAAATCCCAAGAATCTGCCCCTAAGGTAATTTTTAACAGAACTTTTCTTGTGGGTAATATGTGATTTAAACAACAAAGTAGATTTTAAAAGTTTTTATTTCCAACATCTTTTCGAACTGGTGTTGTCTTGAGTTTACATTCTTTCTTGTAAATTTCCACATGCTACAAATATTTAGAAGTAACTTCGCTGAGAATTGCTAGAATTTATTGTAATGCTGCTGTTAAAATCTACTGTCAACATGTAATATTAATATACTTTTTCCAACTATATGTAGTGATATGTAAATCCATAATATTGTCATTAATAAATGCAGACATTAAAAAAAAGACGACTTTATGAAAAGGTTTAATTTCCAAGATGGATATTTCAGATAGAAGTTGTTCTTTTGGGAAAAATGTACTCCTTAAATATTTACTCTTCACTATTTTTATTTCAAATTCTGATTCTTATCATATATACCTGTTAAGTATCTTGCATTGAAAAGTTATAGTATACTGTAATTCAATACCTTTATTCTTAATTGACCTAATTGACCTGGTGTCCATCAGATACATTCCATTGGCTTTGGTTTGTATGTAAATCAACACTTCAAAATGGATTATCAGGAATTTGTGATCTTCTCCATTAATTATCAGCAGTGCTTGTTGTCAGTGTGAAACTATGATATGGTGTTAGAGCTCTAATAAAAATGCATAAGGTCATAATTGAAACGCTTAAGAGAATTCTTTAAAAATTAGGCAAGAATAAATGTTGTTGCTAGCTATGTAGAGAGCCTACTGAGTGAGAGCTTTTTTGTTTTTTGTTTTTTGTTTTTTTACTTTGCTGTTTTGTCTGTTTGGCTTGATGTTGGTTTATTTGAAGTAGGAGCTGAAATAAAATGCACATGTTTCAAATACATCATAAAAATTAGGCAGGTGTAAAGTTAGTTTCCTTGTTTATTATTCTAGGTAAAAAGTTGTTTGTTGAAATTTTGTGAAATTAAAAGTAATTTACTTTAAAAAATTAATATTACCAGTTGCTTTCTAATTGGAAAGAAATCCAGATTTAGGGTGTTTTTTTTTTTCATTTTTTCTTTCAACTAAAGTATTCCTATTCAAACTGCTGTAAGATACGTGTCTTCCAGTTTACATGGAAGCCAATGGGCTGGACTACTGGTGTAGACATAAATCTCTTGTGCAAGGGTTCCTCTGAGCTGTCAGTGTTGAGGTCTCAGTTACAAGTGACGGAAGCAGCTGGTGATGAGCTACTTGTGTTAGTGCAGATGGAGGGGAAAATGAGGCTTGTGGACCCTTCCCAAAGTACAGTGTGGATGGTGCAGGTACATTCACCACAGTCTTGGCCTTTGGCCTCAGACTGGATGAATAAGAGTCTGGCAGCACCTCAGAGCCTAACATATGTAATGGTTCTACCGCACCACATCCTGTGCTTGGAAAGTAGATAGTTGTGTCAGTGGTGATGGTGGGCAGTGGTAATTCAGAGCAGAAAGGTGTCTGGAAATTTGAGTTCCCTCTTATTTTTTTCCCTCTACAATATTTCTGTTAGGAAGTCTGAAGTCCTTGACTATAAGAAGGAGAAAGATGTCCCAGCAGAATGTGTTGGTGTTTTGAAGCAACTTTGGATGCCGTTGTAATGTGTGTAATTTCATAACAAATGTTGTAATGATTTGTCTCATAAGTCACTGATTTGATGACTGCCGTGTATCAATTTGCACTGCCATAATTCAGTTTTTCACTGAATGTTTTTTTTCTTTTTCCCTGTTCAAATGATATTTTTTATAATTTTCAGAGTACTGAGGATTTAAAAAAGAAACACAAAACAAACAAATCCAGCAAGATCCTGGTTTCCTGCTGTCATCGCCTATTGGAAAATAGCACTAGTTTTGTTGAATGAGTTTTCTTAATCCTTACTCCATGCTGTATGGAAGCCCTCAATGCTTACGCGAGTGGACTGTATTCTAGATTGCTCTAGCAAGTGGCATTCTGTGACGTGACCCTTATATCTTTGTCAGTAGCCTGAAGGAGTTAATGGAGAGACTGATTACTATTTTGCATATGGCACCAAGATGGAAGGTACTCTCAGTACAACATTGACAAAAGACCTGGGCAAACCAGAGAAATTAACTGCCAGGAAATTATTGAAATTCACTAAATTTCATGAGGTAAAGTCATGAATTCCAATGCTATCCATGCACCTGGTAGAATGAGCTCTTTGCTCATGTCTGTGGTCTGCCTGAGGACAGCTCTGTTTGAAGAGGCCCTGGGTGGGCAGCAAGATGGGCCTGCAGTGAGCCCTGATGGCAGAGAATTCAGCAGCATGATGGGCTATATTGGTGTGAGCACATACAGAAGATAAAGGGAAAGGATTTTCCTCCTCTAATCAATACTCATTAGGCTGCATCCAGAATACTGCATGCAGTTTTGGTTCCCCCAGTACAAAAAATATTATTAATTGTCTGTATTGCACAGCTGCATTACTTCTTAACTTTCATGTCTACTCTCCTTACTCATATATCCCATGCTGGTCTATTGAAAAGCCAGCATTTGTTTTCTCACTCAGGGCCCATTAAAGCCTGGAATCTTCTGTTCATGAAGGGCAAAGTTACAGTTCCTTTTAGGGTACAGTTCTCCTTAAGATTAACTGCTACAAGATTATTAACAAATTTTATTTTAGATGTCATACATCCATTGATAAGGCCCCTAAAAGATAAACTTCTTCAGGTTTTCCAGTTAGTTTTCATCATTCCTATGTCAGTTGCAAGCTGTTCAGTGAAATTGCACTTGTAAGGCTGGTCAGCCTTCCTCCTGGATGAGGTTGTGGGATCTGGCCTTCTTCAGATGAGAAGGCTCCAGGGAGACCTCATTGTGGCCTTCTGGTAACCAAAGGGAGCTTACAGGTAAGAGGGAAACTGATGTTTTACGTGGGCAAAAAGTGTTAGGACAAGGCTGAATGCTATTAAACTAAAAGAGAGGAGACTTAGATGTTAGGTGGAATTTTTTTTTACTCAGAAGATGGTGAGACCCAGGCCCAGGCTGTCCAGAGAAGTTGTAAATGCCTCATCCCTGGAGTTGCTCAAGTCTTGATTGGATGGGGCCCTGAGCAGCCTGATCTAGTGATTGGCAATCCTGCCCATGGCAAGGGGCTGGAACTGGATGATCTCTAAGGTGCCTTCCACCATAACTGTTATATGATTCTACAATTTACAAGCAAGAAGTCTCTAAATAGTATTGTCAAACTGGTGTGAAAAAAATCATCTTCAGGATTTTGCCCTGTACCATTTAGGCAGATCAGTTTCCTGATAGTTAAAACATATTGAATAAAAAAGATTTCAGGTTTTTCTTACCTGATCATTTGATTTGTTTTCACAACAGTTTTAAGTACTTAAAGCTTTCATTATGTTCTTTTTTTTATTCAGCCTTTAAGACAGACAACCTAGTGCAGAATTCTTTATAGCTTCTGTTTTCCAAATTTCTGATCACATTGATTTGCTTTGCATTACTCAGGACTCTTCTCAGTTCATTATCTTTTTTCTGTAGTTTTGCTGTGAATTAACACTGTCATAATACTGTGTGAAAGGAAACGATATAGTGAGAAGTATTAAATGCACCATTGGTGGTAGATAACTTCACAGACTTGAAGTCATTCCTCCTTCATATTCAGTGATATTGAGAAATCTTTTGTAATGCTCAGGTGAAGAAATGTGTTTTGTGTGACTCAGAAAATGAAAATCAGTAGGAAAGAACTCAAAGGAGAGCAATCAGAATATATGTGCTTGCTTTATAGCAAAAATATTGATGCCAATATTTTGCTGTCAATCCGCAGTGCTAAATTTCTTTTCCTGAATAAACGATGCAAGCTTTTTTCTTTTGTGCAACTGACTGTTCTTCTGTTCTTAAAGTGTAGAATCTTGCACTTTTTAACTGTTGTACTACTACTTTTTTTTTTTTTTTTTACATTAGTCATGGCAATTTTAAATTTTAATTCTGTTTTGCTCTGAGCAAATGTCTTGATCTTTTGATCATAGTAGTAGATGTGTAGACACATATCAATGATATATATGATAGTAGACACATATCAAAAGATTTAAGAGAGAAAATAATTTTAGTCTGCTGTAATGTAGTGGTCAGAGATCTATGTGGGTTAGCCTGAAGTTCTCTCTGTCTAATTTTAAGTTAGAACAAAAATGAGTGACTCCATTTTTCACATCTTCAGCAGGTGCTGCAATCATCAGTGTGCTGCAGATGCAGAATTTCAACTGAGTGTTTTCATGCAAAAATTAAACCTGATTAGACAGTTTGGTCTTTAAATCCTCTGAGATGTAAATATCACTGGTAAAATACTTATGTGTTACATTTAATTGGAAAAAAAAATGAGATTCAATTATTATACTTAAAGCTTTGTCCTTTCAATTTTTATTTATTTATTTATTTTTTAATTTATATTTATAAATATGCAGGGACAACCCTGGCTATATGTACAGACTCGGGGATGAAATGCTGGGGAACAGCTCTGCTGAAGGAAATTTGGAGATCTGGTCAACAGCAAGCTGAACATGTGTCAACAATGTGTCCATACAGCCAGAGAGGCCACCTGTAACCTGGGGTCTATCAAGCACAGCACTGCCAGCCAGTCGAGGGAAGGGATTGCATTGCTCTGCGCTGCACTGGTGCATCCTCACCTTGAGTACTGTGTGCAGTTGGGCAACGTAGTACAAAAAGGACAAAAAGGACTACTGATTATCTTTGAACACTTTCTCCCACTCTTCAATACCTAGTATGAAAAGCCTCACAAATACTACTCTACCAATCTGAGAAAAAAGTGGCCGTAACCAAGTCATTAGTTACTGTGGAATGCCTAGTATGCCTCAACAACACTTTCACACTCTGCCTAATTTTTTACAAGGTTTTTCAAAACAAAATTTTAAAGCAGGGAAGACAAGTGTTTTATGTCAGTTAGACCAAAGTTTCACTTAGAGATGCCTATTTTGAAACAAAATTTAGAGTTCTGAGATTTAGGCAGTAGATAAAATATACACAGAAAGAATTAGGATATTTTGAGTAGGGTACCAAAACATTGCCAGCAGGGACTGCTTTAAAGCAGATATGCTGGCTAGGGATGTGCCTGATGAAGATAAGAACAAAACCGATAAAAGCATTCATCTGCATTCATCACCCTCTTGAGAATGTTTTTCTCTTATGTGTGGTATTGAGAGGTTTAGGGCTTGTTCAAGTAAGAAAGTTTCAGTAACTTTTCTTTCAAAAAATGCGATAGTGACTTTCTTAATAGTTCACATGACCATTATACTACTGTTCTTTTTACCTCTTCTGCCCTCCATGTTAATGTTCACACATGGATACAGGCATGAAGCCTCATGCTTCTTTTCTTGAGGACAGTATCTAGACACCCCATCAGAAGTATGGAAACCAACATTTACTTTTCTCCTCTGCACAAATGAATTTTAATTTATATTCCTCTATAGCACTTAAATCCTATACAGCTCTACATGTTTTCTACTTGTTCTTTTTTTCTTGCAAAGCACATAATTCTGATGTATGATCTCTAGTCCAACTCCCCTGCAATTAACAGGGACATCCACAGCCAGATCAGGTTGTCTGGAGCCTTATCCAGTCTCACATTGAAAGCCTCTAGGGACAAGGCATCAACCACTTTGCTAGGCAGCCTGTTCCAGTGCCTCACCACCCTCACTGTAAAATATTTTTTCCATATATCTAACCTAAATCTACCCTATTTCCCATTAAATGCTCTTAGTTTGAAGAAGCACTTTTTGTGGACTGAAATTTGCCCAGTAGAGTTGCATGCACCACCCTCTTCAACACAGAGCAAAGAAGGTAATGTTCTGAACTCTGATTTGCAGCCATTTATAATGGTCTAAAAAAGCACACTTGAAAGGCTGAGAGAGATCTGGACTAATCTTATTGATTCTGAAAGCAAATAAGGTATTGTCGCATGTCATCTTAACTCATGTAAGGAGTTAAATGAATTTAACTAGAATTTAATGGGAATAGAAGAGTTTCAGTGAGACTTTCACTTTAAGTAGTTTGATAGGTATTTAATTTGTTACTCTACAACGTATTTCAGGATATTTTCCATTGAGTTTCTTCTAAACCTACGAAACAATTACTAGCTAGGGAAATGTTCTGCTTTGTGATTGGGTAATGTGCTCACGTAGTTTTGCTCTCTCAAGATGTTTCTGTAGAGCATAATTTGGTGTGTCAGCCAAAGAAACTGTGATTGCCAATGTGGGTAGAATAGAGATGTAAAATTAGCGGATAGCAAAAAGGTGCTGGGAAGATGGTTTTGCAAGGCAGTGTGTCCACTATACAAAAATATCCACTGCTATATAGCATAGTTTTTAATTTTGACACAAATTTAATATGTTTTCATTTATAGGATATTGATAAATCATCCAAAACTGCTGGAAATTTAAAATATGTCAAAATTTTAGGATAATTAATACATGTCAGTTTCCAAACAGGTGAGAATGATTAAGGCTTCCACTCTTGCTGTACTTGGTTTCCTTTGTGAATTCCTTGTGAACATGATGTGCAAGATTTATCTTTCTAGAATTAAACACTTGTGTCTGAGTTATCATTTATATTTATTTTTTAAGTCACAGTAGAGAGCTATGATGCAATTTGTTCCCTTCAAGATGGATCTACAGAAGGGGTCAGGTAAATCATGTTTCAGAGGTGTCTGTTGCTCACCGCTGGATTACAGAATTTAAATGACCATTCTAGGTGTGCATTTCTGCACTGGAAACCTTTCATGAGATTTGATTCAAGGTTAAGACACCTATTTGTGGATGTCTGGTGGCATGATCAGTGTCTGCATCCCATCATATTGTGGAGATCTGGCCTCATCTCCTGCTACAAGGACATGAACCTCCTGTAAGCCCTACATCAGCCTTACATTCATCTTGAAATGGGTGCCTTGGACATTCTAAAGTGTGTTAAATGGTGACAGTGACATACATGGGGTAACTCATTTCAGCTTAGAGAGAACAGAATCTCATGATCATCTGCTGTGTAAGCACTTAAGAGTAAATATAATTTCTGTGCTTTCAATTTCCACTAAATATAAGGGAAGATTTGACATTTGATTATCCATAGAGCTACTCATCTAAATTTCAGTGCCTTAAATTTAAAATGACTTCACAGACCAAAACTTTTTACTAATGATCACCACAAAGTTTTCCCCTAATTTTGTAGAAAAATGAAAATATTATAAAGATAATGTTTCATGTTTGGTTTTACTTTCAAGTCCTTTGTTTAAAAGTACACAGGGTACAAGGCACGTTTCTTCTTTAATTCCATTACTCTGTTCTTTTTGCCAATCTGCTATTTAATAAAATGAATAGACTTGATTCAAAACAATCTTTTGAAAACAAATCTTGCAGCTAAACCTTAAATTATGTATGACTGTTCTTCAGTTGCATAGAAAAAAGTGCAGTGATGTTATGATATTGTTATACGCCTCATAAATTAGTAAATATTATTCTTAAGTATGATAATGCATTTCATAACAGGTTTGTCTCTTTTCTTCTTCTGTGAAATGACTGCAAAGCTATTAAATTGCACTAGTCTTCCTTTCTTAACAAATAGCTGTAAACAGTGCTAATTCCACATAATTTAAGAAAAGAGCTGACTGAAGAATAAGAAAAATTTGCAGATAAGTGAATATACCAAAAATTAAAATTGACTTTATTTACTACTATTCATGAAGAAAAACTTTGATACCAAAATACTTGACTACTTAAGAGAGTTTACTAGTTGACAGTCAAGTGGTAATTTCATAAATGTATGTCCATCTTGACATTAGCCAACTGAAGTCCTGTGACACCAGCATTTGTGATCACAGTATGTATATCTGTGTGTTTTATAAGGTGGAAACCTAGTTTTGCATCGTGATAGAATTATCATAAAAACATTTGTGATAGATACCTGACACGGTACGAGGGAAACCTCTGAGTCAGAAACAATATTGCATTTCTTTATTGAACAGAAAAATACATTCACATAGATTTATACGTACATTATCTATCTACTTATAGTGCAGTTCCATAGCAAGTCATACAATTGAAAACAAAAAGAACATACTTCACAGTGATACTTCTTTGTGAAAAAGTACAAGGGAGGATGATTTCTTTTTGTGTTTTAATGATTACTTCAAAGACAATTTAGCCTGTTTTTTTACAGCATAAAAGAGGCTTTGTAGGTCTAATTCATTTGGAGCCTGAATAGCAGACCAGTTTTCCTCTTTCTTTAAACAGTGTTTGTTTATATGAATTTTATGTATTGAATGGGATACAGGTTATTAATTATCACTAAGAAATGTTCATTTTCTTAATTTTTTGTTCCTGTGCCTTGCTTTTACAGACTAAAACTGGTATTGCTTTGTTGTATGATGAAGTATCTGAAAATGCTCACGACATCCGACTGAAGCTCACAAAAGAGGTATTAACAATTCAAAAACAAGATGTCGTCTGTGTTAGTGGAAGTGATCACAGTGCAAATGTAAGTGCTTCTATATCTCTGTGCTTTCGACTGCACTTTGTTTTCTGTAGTGATCAGTTTATGGTATTTGGAGTGCAAGAGAATTTATTGAGTAACAGAAGTATGTAATGTGTCACATGGCTGCAGTATAATGTGTCTGTGCACCTAAGTGTATATCATTATGCTAGTGATATTTAAATGCCTTGTAAATAAACTTACTTTCCTGGAAAAGGATTTGAAATTCTATCTTGACCAGTCCCTGGCTAGTTCTTTGAATCATCATAGGCTGAGTGCATCTGAGGAAAAGTTCTATCAGATTTGTGTTTGTATTTATCATCACTCATTGATCGTTCACAGAAAAATAGGAAGGAATGGTTAATCCAAATCTTCACTTGGGAGTATCGAGATTTGTGTTGGTTCATATTTTGATACAATTTTCTCCTACATGTTGTAGATACCCTAAACAGTATTTCCAGATGGAAGACAGGACAGAAGACAGGCTCTGAAAGGGTTGGTTCAGTGTAGGCTGTCTTTGTCAAACTTTAATGCATAAAAATGGATTAAGTCATACCTTGATGGGAATATTTGCTTTTTCTATATTATACATAATAAAATAAAAACTTTTGGAAAATTAGCATTTGAAATAAAGGCCAGTTAAGATAAGCACTGTGTATTTTACAGTATGTGAATTACTCAGGAGCTCAAAAGCAGAATTTGAAATCAGGCTGAAATATATGGTAGTTCTTTAGTGACATTTTTGGTAACTCTGAAGTTTTAAATTTACAGCTACACATGCTAGATTCAGAAGAGATAAATGCTTTATATTTCACATGGTTCAAGAAAATAGTTTTCATCTCTCCTCTGTATGACTCAAAATATTAATGTAAAACTGTAACTTGAAAGTCAATTCTATAGCAGTCACAAACATTTTTTCTTACTGATTCGTTCTCCTTTCTATACTTATTATTTCTTAGTTACTCATAGTTAATCTTTATTTGGACATGACCATTTCTCACAATAGTGCCTTTGCAACAAAAATAGAAATAAAATGTTTGTCTTCTTCCTGGAGTAATGTGGAACATGTAGGAAGAATATAGGAAAGTTACTCTAAAACCAAAATCTTTCTCCTTAAGTAGGATGTATGAATGGACAAATTGAAGAAGTAAGCCCTGTATGTACTTGTGATAATATTTTCTTCCTTCTGCCAGTATTGTGAGACAGCATTCATGGAATGTATCTGACACATTTGTTTCCACTCCTTTTGCTCACAGATTCATTGACCTTGAGGAATGCTGAGGACAGGGTTTGCAGATGTTTAACTGCTGGCTCTATGCATTTCTGAATGATGAGGGCTGGCAAAGGTGTCAGTTATCACAGGTGCTACCTTGGTGGTTTGGACTTTCAGCAGTACAGATCACTCCCAAGGATCTCACACTGATTGTGCAGATAAAAGTCTGTCTCTGTAGAATGCCCATCTTTTACTGATGTCATCTTGATCTTTACTTGTTTCATGTTTTGCCATCTCACATTCATATTTAGGTACTATCTTTATGCACAGAGAAAGCTTTATCTTTGATGAGCAGTTGTAGGGCTTGTTTTCTATCATTTTACTTGGAAGTAAAGTATATATAGAGAGAGGAATGTCGTTTCTAGAATTCAAGATACGTAGAGAGGAAAATAATGTAAAGGCAATCGATTATTCTCCTCAGTATTTAGCTTTTTCACAGTGTACATCAAAATGTAATTCAGTAATTTGGGCTTGGGAAATCCAGCAGTCCATGCAAATTTTCATGACTCAGTGTTATGTTCAAAATGTTCAAACTCATAGGAAAAAAGTCTGTAAGGTTGGATCAGCACCCTTGAAGCATGAAGATATTGACAGAAATGGTATATGGGAAAAAAAGATGAATTTTTTAAAATAAATTCTAAGTATTTTTGGCAGAAGGTTCTTTTTTTTTTTTCTTTCTTTTATATGAGTAGTTTAATAACACTTACAGAAAGGAATCAATTATCAATTAAATGAGCGCCAGGGTAAGACCTATTTTCAGTTAAAGGAGAAACAGAGAGGCATTCCTTTTTATACTTCTCATAGTACGCTTTTTCTGAAGAGTATGATTTTTTAATAACTTTTTTGTCATTTAATATGTTAAAATTAATTTCTTACATATTCACGGTACCTCATTCCCTTCCTTACTACTCTGCCTATCTTTTTCCTGTTTTAACCTCACAGTTTCGGGCCTCTCTTCTTTTCATAAATACTTTTCTCTTTTAATTTGCATTTTATTTTGGTCTCTCTTTTTTCTGCTTTAATTCTACTTGCAAAATTAAAAATAAATACAGAAATAATTGCATCTGGCTTTTTACCACAATCAGTCCCTCTCACAGAGCTGAATTTCTCTGACTTAATCAATGGTCAGGCAGGTTTTCAGTAGGAAGAGAGGTCTTCAACAGATTATGTGAGGCAAAAGGATTAGAATGACAAAAATCTTTGTTTTCTACATGCCCAAATTTCTGGCTTTTTAGCTAGAGTTGGGCAGAGCGAAGTGAGGTAGATGAATAAGATCTCTTTGAGCTGAACCATTCCATTCCAAACAGGGAGGAAAAACTGGACGATTTTTTAAACTAAAAATTAGAATGCATTAAGTGCTGTTTCAATCCCTGATGAACTGCTATGATTCTTTTCCTTTATAACTCAGATACTAATAAGGCCATAGAAAAAATGTTATTTTGGCAAAGCTGTAGAGAAAAGACATTAAGGGCTAAAGTTTATTTTTTAAGCTAAGTTGCATTTCTGTCTAGGTAACTAGTTTCTACTGTGTTTGCCCAGAGTCTGTTCTGTCATCATTAGTATGCATATATATCCAAAATAATTTTCAAAGAGCTTTTAAAATCAGCTAATGTTTACATTTTTATCTATATTTTGAAACACCAAGTGGATGATTAAAGGAAGACTCTTCCTTTTGAAACTAAGATCATTTGTATAGAGAGAATGCATTATTTAACTATTTGTTATTTGTTTTCACGTGCTGAAAAGCTGACCTAGATATCTAAAAGATAACAATCTTTTAGCAATTCTTTAGGATTCTTTAGGAATTCTTTAGGATTTTATTATGAAAGATCATAAGCTTCTGTTGCTGTCATTTTGAGAAGAGTTAAGAGCTAGTATCACAAAATAAATAATAAATATGAGTATTCATCAGCATGATGAAAAACCTCAAACCTCAGTAATACAGATAAAAAGAATAAGTAGCTTAAGTTTAAAAGATTAATAAATGTAACAGCACAGGGATGCAGAGGGTACTATGGATGTGCCTGAAAAAAAGTCTCTCCATGAGTTGTGTAAAGAGTCAGCTGAAAGTTAACATACCCGCAAGAGAGAAGGAAAGGCAGCACAGCACTGATGTTACTACAGTTGTGTCCTTTATTAAAATTTCAGTTTATCTATTGTACGTGGAGACATGGCAGACTGTAAAGATAGTTAAATTGCTACTGTATACATTGTGGGAGCTCGTTTAACAGTTTAAAGTCTTCAAGAGCTAGAAGAAAAATAGATGACTACAATAGAGACATGAGCATTTCCTATCATAGTATGTTAGATACTAATGGTTGCCAACTCTGCTCTTCATCTTTATTATATTACCCGCCAACATGTGAAATGTTGCACAAAGTGAAGGTAAATGAAATTATTCAAATAAAGAACAGCTGCTAATTTCTGTTATAGGATGCCTTTTTATTTAAAAGAAAGAAGTAGGGAAAATGAAGCATAAACATATCTTACCATTGGTTCCAGTCTATGTTATTAATAGCTCTGGAAATCCAGATTTGTATTATCGTCTGTATTGTCAGTCACAGAATACTTTGGATTGGAGGGAACCTCATAAGGTTATGATTCAACTCATTGTTCAGTGCAAGTTTAACTACAAAGGCAAGTTACTGAGGGCTTTGTCTATTGAAGTTCAGAACGTCACCCAAGATGGAATTTCCACCACCTCTCTGGGCAGCCTCTTCTAATGCATAACCATTTTTGCTGTGATATTCTTTACAATCATGCTCAACTGGAATTTTTTTAGCTTGAAATAGGGACATGCGTCTCCTTTGTTTGTTGTGCATCTCTGAGAGCAATCTGGTTCTGTTTTCTATATAATCCTCCTTTAGGTTGGCAGGCTTTGAAACTAAAATGAGTGACTTCATTTTACTCTAAAAAAAAGACTCTGAGACTTTGATCTACCGTAATAGAAAGAGTTATAATAAGATAAACTGATAAAAGTATCTTGCTATACTATACTATATTTATTAAGAATTCTCTGCAGCTGTCGCAGATCTCAGCTAGCATGTGAAAAGATTTACTTTATCTCCATACAAAACTCAAGGGCTACTGGCATGCCTCAGTCATTTGTTTTAGATGCATTCTTCTTGTTACTTTTTGGAAAAGGTTACATACTGAGCAATGCAAGTTAAAAGTTTCAGCTCTCTCTTTTCCATTAATAGTAATCTTTTGCTTTTTAGCTATGTGTTCTTTCTAGCCTGCTTCCTCTTCATGGAAGTGTAGAATTAGGCATCATGGGATGCCATGGAGTATTAATTCATACTTTTCCTCTCTTTTGTGGAATCTCTTGGCTTATATTTCCATTGGCTCCATAATTCCACGTCCAAGAAGTTTCACTTCAATACTAATTTAATTATTCCTAAGGCTGTAAAAGACACTTAAAACTGATGGACTTAGCACTGAAATTTATACAACATCCTTTGAGCAAAAAGCTTTTCCTAAAGACCAGACATGTTATAACCAACAGGAAAGCAATTATTATTTCTAGTAAAGTTGTTTCACTGACATCCTACCCCCAATATAGTTTTATGGAAAAGCTGTTATATTGTTTATTTGACTGTTTACCTAGTCAGTTATCTGTTCCTGTTTTTTTTAAGTTCCTGTGAGGACAGTATTAATAACAGATATGGCACATTATCTGGCCAAATCAGCTAAGTGAAATTTACTTTTTCCTCATGCTCCACTGACTGCTTTG